CATCGTTCGCGGCCGCGTCCGTGCGGCCATGCATCCATAGGCACGATGGCTTCCACCTCAGATTCCGGCTTTTTTGCGGCTGGTATGCTCCATCCTGGTTTTCTGTTAGGGTTTTCCTTCCCTTAGCCGATAGGTCCCCGTTTTATGGCGCCGGGAACTCGCCATTCGCCCTCCCTATCTGGGTCGGACTTGTCGGTTTGCTTTTGTTAGCTGGGCGTAGTGTTCTTGCGACTGGCATTTATTGGTGTCACGTTATCGGTATAAGTGACCCCACCAGTGCCCCACCGACCATTTTGAGCTGTTTGTCGGCTTCACTTCCCGTTCCCGTCCCGTAGGGCTCGAGAATAGGGAGCTACTGAACCACTCCACCAACAGTAAGGTCTTACAGCTCCTAGGAGTGGAACCTAACCTAACCTAAACTAACCTAACCTAACCTAACCTAACCTAACCTAACCTAACCTAACCTAACCTAACCTAACCTAACCTAACCTAACCTAACCTAACCTAACCTAACCTAACCTAACCTAACCTAACCTAACCTAACCTAACCTAACCTAACCTAACCTAACCTAACCTAACCTAACCTAACCTATTCTATTCTAACCTATTCTAACCTAACCTAACCTAACCTAACCTAACCTAAGCTAACCTAACCTAACCTAACCTAACCTAACCTAACCTAACCTAACCTAACCTAACCTAACCTAACCTAACCTAACCTAACCTAACCTAACCTAACCTAGCCTAACCTAACCTAACCTAGCCTAACCTAACCTAACCCAACCTAACCTTTTTTTTTGACGGGTGGAAATGCTTTACGCACATTGTCTACTGGTTCTACCGTTCGACAGTAGTGTGGGACTGCCGGCTCATTTGTGCAGGTATGGTTTACCCACTAAAACCACCCCTGTTGTGCCATCCTGACATAACAGATATATCTTTGGAGATGTCCAACATTATGCCAGTGGATCTATCGTTTTCATCTTCTCATGTTTATCTCTTTATTATCCTTCTCTTTGTTGTTTATTATTTCTTTTATATATGTGTACCGCATCCCATTTCTCTTTACTCGTTAGCATTATGTCGATTATATTGTTTTCATTTATTTCTTCTCTGATTGTTATTTATATTTGCGTTCTTTGTGCAGTCCATCTGACACATTCAAACACGGTGTGTCTTGGGTTGTCACTTTCGTCGCAGTATATACATGTGTCGCTTTCTGTTTTTTTTTATTTTTTTAGTGTAACTACCAAAAGTGCTGTGTCCTGACAGGATCTGCGTGAGGCAGTAGTCTGTGCGCCTAAAGCTGCATTCTGTCCATGTTTTTATAATTTTTATCATTGTCCTAGTCCATTCTCCCGTCGTCCCTTGGGTTTCCCATTGTACTTGCCACTCAGAGTATGTTGTCTCTCTTTCCTCCCTCTTTGCCAAATCCGTGTGTCTGTCGGCCCTATTGTATAGTCTTTGTATTTCCATTACCAGCAAATTAATGGGTGGTACCCTAACCTAACCTAACCTAACCTAACCTAACCTAACCTAACCTAACCTAACCTAACCTAACCTAACCTAACCTAACCTAACCTAACCTAACCTAACCTAACCTAACCTAACCTAACCTAACCTAACCTAACCTAACCTAACCTAACCTAACCTAACCTAACCTAACCTAACCTAACCTAACCTAACCTAACCTAACCTAACCTAACCTAGCCTAACCTAACCTAACCTAACCTAACCTAACCTAACCTAGCCTAACCTAACCTAACCCAACCTAACCTTTTTTTTTTGACGGGTGGAAATGCTTTACGCACACTGTCTACCGGTTCTACCCTTCGACAGTAGTGTGGGACTCCCGGCTCATTTGTGCAGGTCCGGTATACCCACTAAACCCACCTCATTTCTTCCAACCTAGCTTTACGGAAGTATCTTGGGGGATATCCATCATAAGGCCAGTGGTTCTATCTCAAGTGTTTCTGTTCACTCTGTCCTCCCCTTCTTTTTTTTTTTCATGATATCCCTGATGTAGCTGTGTATTATTTCCCATCGTGCCTTACTTTCGGTCATTTTTTCCACCATGTTATTTATTTCCATCTGTTCCCCTATTTCTATTTCCATCTGAGTTCTCCTTTCCGTCCATCTGAGCAGTGTGTGGTCGGGATCATCTGGTTCATTGCAGTATATGCAGTCGTCATTTTCAGTCTTTTATTTTTTTGTGTAGCTGCCAAATGTACCGTGCCCCGTCAGGACCTGCGTGAGATAGTACTCGGTGTTTTTTTGCTCGTTTTCGCACGATGTCTTCACGTTTCTTATAAATTTTCTCGTCTACGTCCCAGTTTCTGATTGGGTATCCCATCGTGTTTGCCATTCGGTGAGTGTCGTCTGCCTTTCCTCCGTTTTTGCCCTTTCCGTGTGGCCATCAGGTCTGTTGTGTATCCGACATCTCTCTCTCTCACTAGTAAGTCCATCGGTGGGACCCCTGTTACCACTTGGATACCTGCCGCTGACACCGTTCTATAGGCCATTGCCACCAGCAGTAGCGCTTTTCTCTGGGCGCTTATTAGTAAGTTCCTATATTTTTTGTATACTATCCATTCTGCCCATACTGGTGCCGCGTACATTATGGACTGTATCACGCCATACAGCAGCATTCTCTTCCGGCTGCTTGGTCCTCCTATGTTTCTCGTAATCCTCCTGAGGGCTACCTTGCTGTTATCAGCTTTTTCCGTGGCGTATTTTATATGGCTGCCGAAAGTCGTTCCTTGGCCTATCATCACCCCGAGGTATTTCAATTTCTTGGTGAGTTGTATCTGTGCTCCTAGGACCTCTATACTTATTTTATCCTTTTTCCCGTGGCCTTTCAGGATTATTGCCTCCGTTTTCTCTGGAGCTAATCTTAGCTCGTTTTGCTTCATCCACGCTCCGATCCTGTCCGCAGCCATGGCTACTAGGTGGTTAAGTTCCTCTATGTCGTTTGCGTGCACTATCAGTGCGATGTCATCCGCGTATGCTACGAGCTTCGAATTTTCTCCTAGTTGTAAACTGAGAACGTCATCATACAGGATGTTCCACAGGGTTGGTCCTAGTACGGAGCCCTGCGGAACCCCCTTCTCCGTCTTGATTTTCCCCTTCCCTATTTTTATGCTCCGGTCGCTCAGGTAGCTATCTACGATGTTTATCAGGTACTGTGAAATATTTCTGGCCTCTAGTTTTTTCATAATAATTTCCCAGGACGCACTATTGAAGGCGTTTCTCACGTCGAGTGCCAGCATTACAACCCATCTGGCTCTAGTCTCCTTAACATGGGCTATTACTTTCTCTACCGCCTGGATTGTGGAAAGTCCCTTCCGGAAGCCAAATTGGTTTTCAGACAGTCCGCCGTTTGCCTCTAACAGTTTTTCGAAGAGCTTCCCGAATGTATTTAGAAGGCATATTGGCCGGTATGATGATGCTTCTCTTTCCTCTTTTCCTTTCCATATCAGAACTACGGAGGCTTCCTTCCATATTCTGGGGAACATCTGCGCCCTCAATAATTTGTTGAACAGGTCCAGAACAAGCTGTGGCCTCGTTTTTGTGATTTTTATGACCGCTTCCGGGGGGATTCCGTCTGGTCCAGCCGCTCGTTTTGTTTTTATTTCCAATACCGCTTCGATTAGCTCTCCTTCGGTGAACTCCCTAATCGGTTCCTCTGTTTCTCGGTATCTACTAGCTCTCTCCTCTGCCCCTGGGAAGAGTTCTCGGCACCATGCCATCTTCTGATTCTGCGTCGGATTATATGGGGGTGTTTGCCTTCCAGTAAAGCGTGTGGCTATTTGGTACCCTTGTCCCCATATGTCGTTGTTTAGGTCTTCACATACACTCTTCCAGGCTTGTTTTTTTGGCGTTATTGATCTTTTTGGTTAATTGCTTCCTGAGGGACGCTGCTTCCTCTGATGCTGCCAGCAGTTCCGGATCCTTCGCTTGTAGCCTTCTACTTAGCCTTGTTTTTTTCCGGCGGGCCCTAATAGCTTCCTGACGTTTCTCACTAATATCATCGTTCCACCAGTATATCTCATTTTTTGTTTCTGTGGTCCTGTTCTTCATACTTTTTTTAGTGACTTTCTCTAATGCGGCGATGATCTCGTGGGTCGAATTGTATGTGATCTTTAGGTCTCTGGCTATATTTTGGACCAGTAGATTTGTGTCCAGTTGTTTTATTTCTTTTTTTTGTCGTTGTTTGCAGTCATTATTTTGTATTTCGAAGGTAATATATTTGTGGGATGTGTTTACTTGTTGATCCATCGTCTTCCACGACTTGATTTTTTCCGCTGTCTTTTTTGTGGCGCACATGACGTCTATATGTGTCCTGTTGTTACCCCTCACGAAAGTAGGTTCTCCGGTGTTTAGGAATTCCATTTGCAGTTCCGCTGCCCAGTCTTCTATGTAATTTCCTCTCTGATCTGACGACGGCGAGCCCCATAGAGGGGATTTTGCATTAAGATCTCCAGCTATAATGGCTTCCTTTGCATCTTTTACCTCGTTCATGATTTTATCTATGTATGTTTGAGACTGGACCGGCGTTATGTTTGGGGAACAGTAGCAGCAAAGCATGATGAAGTGTCGGAACTGCAGTTTGACGAAACCTTCTCCGAGTGCGTGTCCGGTTATGCCTATGTTTTTATTTGCGATGTGGACAGCCACGTCGTTTTCTTTTTTCATTATGAAACCTTTTTTGGTTGCTATGTTTATATTCGGTTCGGATATTATCACTAAGTCTATATTTTCTTGTTTTGTAACTGCATAAACCAAGTCGTGGGCCGCCTTCGATCTGCCCAGGTTAACCTGTACACACCTCATCTTCGATGTCTAGGCTCGCTCTGATTGACGTCCTTTTGGTGGGCCTCCGTTTGGCTTTTCTTGCGAGCTCTAGTTCCCTTGACCTTTTGTTAATTTCCTCCCTGAAAACTGGACATGCCATTTGATCGGCCCTGTGTCCTTTTCTATTGCAGTTGTTGCAGTACCTCTCATTTTTGCACTCTTGCTGTGTGCCCCTTTTCATTACAGTTTAGACAGTTTTCAGATCTATCCTGCCCCTTGCATTCTGCTGTCTGCTGTCCGAAGCCTAGACACCTGTAGCATCTCGTAAGTGTGATTCTGGCTCTCACCCTACATTCCATCCATCCTATTTGGACGGTTTCCCTTCTTAGAATGTCTCTTGCTGATTCTCTGTCCAGGGTTACTATAGCATTTTGGTTTCCGAATCTGTTTTTCCTGAGACTTACTCTAAGGTTGCCGATTTCTTTTCTTGTGTTTTCCCTGATTACTTGCTTGACATCTTCTTCCGTGATGCCTGCCTCTATGTCCGAGATATAGATAGTGCTGGTATCCTGTCTGAATTCCACTTTGGATCCTCCGTTCTTTTCCATTTCACCCTTAAAAGCCTGTGCCTTTTCTTTGCCTCCCATCACTTCTAGGAGTACATCCCCTTGCGGGGATGTATTTTTTATTTTTACACCTATCCTATCAAGGTTTACCACGTCCTTCATGCCTTTTAGGGCACTGGCCTAATCTTTACCTTCGTTTTTTCTGTTTTGTTGCTGTTTATTGCCCCATATCTGTATTTTACTCATGGTTTTATGAAATAGCGCCTCAGTACATTTCCTTATATATTTATCCTCCGGTACCTCTGTAGTAATTATGTTTATTACCCTCTCTTCCCCAGTGTTTGTCCCGTCTTTTACTTCCTTTAGGGATTTGTAAAGACATTCTGTGTCATACCCTGTTTTTAGGGGGGCCACCCAGAGGGAATTTGTAATTTTCTTCCTCTCTCCATCTTCACTAATAGTTTCAGTTTTCGTTTTTAATTGCTCCACTTTGATTATTCCGCTTTTTATGAGCGGTCTGATGTCAGCGAATCGAGCACTGACGTCTCTGGCTAGTTCCGCTTCTATTTGTTTTTTCGGGTCCACGAATATAACCATATCTCCTGGTTCCATCATTTTTTTGTCTTGTGCCTCCCTTGTGTTAGTGTAGGCATTTTCCGACCATGATAGGTCTATGACTTTTTTAATCCTTCCCATCCTTCTCCCGCTTCTAATTGCTCTCTGCACATTTTTTCTTCTTCTATTTTGGAGACTCTTCTTTCGTCTTCCATCATCCTTTCGTCTACCTGCGTTCCAATAGATTTTGTTTTTTTTTTGGCCGGTCCATACTGTCTCTTCTGCTTGTCTTTGTCTGTTGGTGTACACTGTTGACTGTTTATATGTTTCCATTCTCAGCTGTATTCTCTTCATCCTCCTTTTGAGATCTCTTACTCCATTTTTTATTTCCACCTTGGTATTTGAGTTACTAATTGCCAGGTCGTACAATATTTTTGACACTCTTTGAATTTCGTCCATATGCTTCTGCAAAACTCCGAATTGGGGTTTTTCTACCTCTTCCGGGCTTCGGACTCTTTTTACCTCTGTTTTCGCGCCGTCTGGCGTCTGTGATACGGGCAAATCCATTAGGTCGAATTTTATCCTTTCCTCCGGCGGTGGTGAGCGGTTTAGCGACAGTCTTCTGCTGTGTTCTGCTACCAGTTGTTGCTCGAAAAGCTCCCTTTCTGTTTGCTCGTTAAAGTCTGTACCTGCCTCCTTTGTCTCAGCACTCTGTTGTGCCTTGTCATCTATGTTGTCATCTATGTTTGTTATATTTTATCCATCTTCCATCCCACGAGTTGGGCAGAAATAACGGTCCGGCGGGGCAGTGCTCCCGTACCCCGCTAAGGCATTCCTTTCGGCTACCCCGCACGCCCTCGCCATGGCGCCGGGGGGCTGCTCGCGACCCTCTTCGGGGGGCCATTCATCCCTCCCCGCAGTTGCCAAGGGTTAAATTCCGTTTTGGTTTTCTGTCAGGGTTTTCCTTCCCTTAGCCGATGGTCCCCGTTTTATGGCGCCGGGAACTCGCTATTCGCCCTCCCGGTCTGGGTCGGACTTATCGGTTTGCTTTTGTTAGCTGGGCGTGGTGTTCTTGAGACTGGTATTTGTTGGTGTCACGTTATCGGCCTAAGTGACCCCACCAGTGCCCCACCGACCGTTTTTGAGCTGTTTGTCGGCTTCACTACCCGTTCCCGTCCCATAAGGCTCGACTCGAGAACAGGGAGATACTAAACCACTCCACCAACGGTAAGGTCTTACAGCTCCTAGGAGTGGAACCTAACCTAACCTTTTTTTTTGGCGGGTGGAAATGCTTTACGCACATCGGGTACCAGATGACTACCCCCTACAGCTACTCACTAAAACCACCCCGTTCTCCCTAAAGCCCGGGACCGTCTTTCCAGACATTTGCGTCGGGCAATAGTTGATGCCTCGGTTCTACCTCATACTTCTTTCCTCTTCTGCCTTCTTTTCCATTATACTTGTAAAGAACTTTTCTCCCTGCTTCCAATTTCCCTTGTTGACCATCATCCATTGTACCACTCTTCTCACGTTTATTCTTTCCCCCATACTTAATTCTAGGGCCACTCTTGGTACCTCCCACCTGGGACATGCTGATATTGTGTGTTCCACGTCGTCTGTGGCTCCGCAGTAGTCTGCGACTACTTCCGATATAGTTTTCCCGATTCTTCGGGTATATTTCTTGAAACTACCTTGGCCGGATAGCACCTGCGTGAAATAGAAATTTGTTCTTCTGTGTTTGCATTGCAGCCATTCTCTTATATTTGGTATAAGAGTTTTGGTCCACTGCGCTACTGCTGCCTGCTGCTCCCACCTAGTCTGCCATCTTTGGATCGTAGCCTCCCTAGCTTCCTTCTTTATATCATCGGTGATTTCTTCCTGCAGAGACAGTTTGCACCTCTCTCTTGCCATTTCATCCATTGGTGTTCGAGCAGTTTGGCTGCTGTATAGATAAGGCATATTGGTCTATATTTGCCTAAAGCAGGATCCCCTTTGGGTAAAAGACATACCTTTGCCCTCTTCCATTCATGCGGTATCTCTGAACTCCTAATTATCTCGTTCATCATTGAGAGTATGATATTTGGCATCTCCTCTGCGACAATCTTTATGCTCTCTGACAAGACGCCGTCTGATGCCGGAGCTTTACCTGTTTTTAACTTATTTGCGGCATCCATTAGTTCCTTTCTAGTAAACGGAGATGGGTTATTAACTGTCACTTTACCAGTAATCGGCCTGTCTCTCGTCTCTGGAAAAAGTTCCTCTACAATTTTCACTTTTTTGTCCTCTGAGATCTCGTATGGCGTCAGCATATTTTTAAATTTGTTCGTGACTATTTTGTAGCCTTGTCCGAAGGGGTCCTCTTCTAGATCACTACAGAGCTTCTCCCAGCTTTCAATTTTTGACCTCTAGATAGCCTTCCTCAGCTGTCGTCTCCTTTCTTTGTATGTCATCTCCGCTTGTTCAATATCTTCTGGCAGTACATTGTTGGCCCTCATCCTGGTTAGTCTTCTCCTAATCTCCAGGCACCGGCGCCTATCATTCTCGATGTCCTCAGTCCACCATACGGGCATTTGCCTGTCGCGGTTTTTGATTTTTGTCCTACTGAGACTGTTGTTTTGAGCAGCTTTGATTACGCCCACCACCTCTTGAGGGGAGGTCGGGTTGCCTAGAAGATGTCAGGTTAATTGTGTCTCTGAATAGCTGTTTGTCCAGGACGGTCTTCCCGCCATAGTGACCCTTCCTTTTCACACCACCCATCTCCATCTCTATTAGAATGTATCTGTGTAGGCTAAGTGGCTCAAGGTCCTCCAGGACAGTCCATTTCCTTACTCTGCCAGTCAGTCCGCTGGAGCAGAACGATATGTCAATGATCGACTTTTGGTCCTTTCTAGTGAATGTTGGAGTCGTTCCTGTGTTCAGTACTACAAGATGGAGGGCCATCAGGCAGTCGGCCAGGAATTCCCCTCGCTTATCCTGGGTGTTCGATCCCCACAGTGCTGATTTCGAGTTAAAGTCTCCCACTACCAGGACTTCCCTACTTTCGCTCTGTATGTCATCCATCAGGCCGTAGACGTAGGACTTGTATGTTTCAAGGCTAACGTTTGGAGATATGTAGCAGTTATAAAGAGTGAACCTCGCCATGCTTAGTTTGGAAAATCCATTTTTGAGAGTATGCGTCACTACTCCACATGTTCGGTTCCTGCAATACAGGGCCGTGGTTTCCTCCTTGTCTAACATCCATCTACGGTCCCTGTTTGTCTGTGCTCTGTTGGGTTCCTGTACTGCAATAACATCGATGTTCAGGGAATCAGCGGTAGCTCGAACTAAGTCTTGGGCCTTTCCTCTTCTGTCTACGTTTATTTGTAGAATTTTAACTGGCATAGGGAGTTGTGGGTAGGTCTTATTGGTCGGGGGTATTCCGCCCCTGTGTTGCTACGCCCTGCCGGGTCTCGATGGGTGTTAATACCTGCAATGACCTGAATTGCTACAGCGGACGCCGTTCTGTATGCCCTTACTACCCTGATTAGAGCCTTTCGTTGTGTTTTTTCCATTTGTTCTTTATATTTCTTCATGGTCATAGTTTCATACCATACCGGTGCCCCATATAATAGAATTGACTGCACTATTTCACACAGTACTCTACGTTTTTTGTATTCCGGTCCCCCAATGTTTGGCATTATTTCTGCAATCGCAGCCATTTTCTTTTCCGCTCTCTCGGTTGATCTTATTATATGTTCCCCGTAGTATCCCCACTCGCTGAGGTATACACCTAAGTATTTTAGGTGTTTTTTGGGAAATCTCTGTACCCCTTCTAATTCTAAATAGACATCTCTCCGTCTGGGCTTTCCCTTTAGTATAATGGCTTCGGTCTTATGGGTCGCTAGTTGCAGTTTGGTCTCATCCATCCAGTTTTTGATTTGTACTAGGGCTGTTTGCTTTTTCTACCATTATCTCTTTTTTATTTGATTTTACCATAATCACCAGGTCATCCGCAAATGCCAGCTTTCTGACGTCCTCTCCTAGGTCCAGTCTTAACACGTCGTCATATAATATGTTCCACAAGGTCGGCCCTAGAACCGATCCTTGTGGTACGCCCTGCTTCGAAGTTATATTTTCCCTGTTTGTATAGTAGATTAGCCTTTCAGACAGGTAACTGTCTACTATATTTATGAGGTAAGGGGATGTTTTCTTTTTCTCCATTGCTTTTATGATTTTTCCCCAACTAGCCGTATTGAAAGCAGTTTTTATGTCTAGTGCCACTAGCATTATCCACTCTTGTCTGGTATTCTTGACTTCATCCCTTATTCTATTTAGGGGCTGTATTGTGGACTTGGCTTTTGTGAATCCATATTGATCTTTGGAGATTCCATTTGTGGTTTTCAATTCGTCCGTTATTCTGTCTCTAATTAGTGCTTCGTATAGCTTTCCCAAACCATCCAGCATACAGATAGGCCTGTATGACGAGCTTATTTCAACTGGTTTTTCTGGTTTTATCAATAGTATGACTTTGGCTTTCTTCCATTCTTCCGGGAATTCTTGTTTCTTTATCAGATTGTTGAAAATCTTTAATATCTCTCCTGGAATTTCCTGTATTAGTAATTTTATTGCTTATGACGGAACTCCATCCATGCCAGGGGCTTTCCAATTTTTAATCCTTTTTTCAGCTAGTCTGAGCTCCTCCCTTGTAAGTGGTGTTATATCTGTTTCTTCTACCTTCCCTCTAATTGTCCTGGTGTCATCTGTTGTTGGGAACAAGTCCTCAGTATTTTTTTTTCTGATCTTTGGGTATGGGATCTGATTTGCTTTTAGGCTTTTCATTGCTATTTGAAACCCTTGCCCCCAAATATCGTCTTCTAGCTCTTTGCAAAGTTCTCTCCACTTCTCCCTTTTGGTACGGTTGATGATTTGTTTGAGGTTTCTTCTATTATGTTTTAATTCGTTTTCTAGATCTTCAGTAATATCTCTTCTTTTTCTAATTCTGGCCATTTGTCTCCTAATAGCTATGACGTCTTTTCTAGAATCTTCGATTTCTCCAGTCCACCAATCAGGGATGTTTCTTCCCCTGGCAATTCTACTTGTGGCTTTTTTTGTTCCTTCTGCTGCTAGTTCAATTAATTGGGCCAGTGTTTTGCAATCTTTTTTCTTTTCCTTACCACATTTTGGGTTTTTTTATGTATATTGCCATGTCCTGTTTTTTATCGTGAACCCATCCCTGTTTTTTTATCAAATTTTTATTTGGTTCTGATACAAATAATAAGTCTGCACCCCTTTTGCAAGTCATCGCATAAGCGAGATCGTGGGAGGCTCTACCCCTTCCTAGATTTGTTTGTAGGCTCTTGATGGGCGTCAATTATCGCTTTGGCGATTTCTTCGGCCTTGTTTGCCTTAGCAATAATTAACTCCAGTGTCTCTTCATTATTCTCGTGTAGGTTGTATGTTAGCATTTTCGCTTCGATCTCATCTATTATGGGAGTTTCTAGATCTGGAATCTCTTCGTGGTTTTTTTTTGTTTATACTGTTTGCCTCCATTTCATTTTGTTGTTCTGTCTCCGGGTTGTGTTTGTTCATTTTTCTCCTTTCGTCTTGTCTTCTTCTTGATAGGGCTTGTCTAAATTCTGCACACTTCGACGTCCCCATCCTATGTCCCGACTGGTTACATGTTGGGCACGCTTCCTCATTTTCGCATTATTTTGCCTCATGTCCATCCTCTCCGCATTTATGACAGCTTCTAGATCTGTCGGGTCCCTTGCACTCTGTCGCTTTGTGATCGTACGACCAGCATTTGTAGCATCTGTCTACTCTTAATCTTTTTTCAACTTGACATCTTACCATGCCCACAGTCAAGATTCCATCTCCTAGTATTTTCTTTGCTTCCTTTGTCCCAATTGTAAGTGTAATTGCTTGAGTGTTGTTGGCCTGTGGTCTCATTTCCGTTATCTTCCATCTTTCATCATCCCATCCTACTCTTTGTTTGACTGCTTCCGTGACGTCCTCTTTTACTGCTTCGGCATCCATACCACTTACATGTAGTGTCTCCGTGTTACGGTTGAATCCAGCCGTTCTTGTTCTCATCTTGTTTTCTTTTAGATTCACTATTGTCTGAATATCTTTAAATGCTTTATCATTTTTATCGGTAGTTATTAGTAGTTTGCCGTCCTTGGTGCTTCTCATATTTCTAATGGCCTTGGATGCTGGTTGATCTCGTAAAATACTTTTAAAGTTTGTCAAAATTTATTTGTAGGTTTTTTCCTTGTCTTCTATAATAAGGCCATAGGTGTCTCTTTCCTTTTTAGTTTTCTCCTCGCCGGTGTTCATTTTGGTCGTGTAAACAAGGACTTTCGTTCTGCTTCCATGGAATATGGCTTCGGTCATTTTTTGTAGTCTTTGTGTTGACAGACTCGTTACATGATGTATTGCCAGACTCGTTACATGATGTATTGCCACTTCTTTATCTTCTGTGGTCTCGCTTTTCAGTTTTTCCTTGTTTTTTCCATAGCTCCTGGTCGTTTCCGTTATGTAATATTTTTATTATTTTCCGGTTAATAATTTCGTTGGGACTTTTTGTTCTTATCTTAATTATTTGGTCAACCACTTCGAATTCCTCCTTAAGATTTCCCAGTTCAGGGTACTTGTCCTTGAACAGTCTTTGAATGCTCTTCTCCATATTAAGGTCATGTGGTTCCACTATTGTGACTTTCACTACAGAGTCTTCGGTCGTCAATGGATTTCCTACTCTTATTTCTGAGTTCGTAAAGAGTTTGTTATCCCATTTTCTTCCTTCACATGAGGACCATATTTCTAGGGAGTTTACTTCTTCTAGAGTATTTAACGTCAGGAATTTATCCAAAGTCCAGGCCTCTGTTTGTGTGCCCATTTCAACGGTACTGGTAATGGTATTGGTTTTGTCAGTTTGAATGTCAACGTCGTAGGTTGCTTTTGGTACCGGTTCCATTTTGTTACTTTTCATCCATTCTTTTATTAGTGTTCTATCGAAGACATTTGCGTTTTTTCTAAGTTTCTTTGCAGCTTCTTTACTTCTTAGGTGTGTGTTTGGAATCTCTTTCATCATTCCTTTAAGATCAATAGCTAGTTTTATGCATGCTTCCATAGCTTAACCTAACCTAGCCTAACCTAACCTAACCTAACCTAACCTAACCTAACCTAACCTAACCTAACCTAACCTAACCTAACCTAACCTAACCTAACCTAACCTAACCTAACCTAACCTAACCTAACCTAACCTAACCTAACCTAACCTAACCTAACCTAACCTAACCTAACCTAACCTAACCTAACCTAACCTTTTTTGTGGAGAAATGCCTTTACGCACGCCTAAAACCGGCAGTGTGGGACTCGCCCCTACGCCATACCCACTAAAACTCCACATTTTCGCCTTGTACGCCTTGTTCGAAGGTACCGGGACAAATCTTCTGATTTTTACATCGATACCTTCAGGCTGTTTCACATTATGTCCCGCCCATTTCCTGATAGTCTGTCTAGTTCCTCCTGGTATTTTTTTTATAACACTTCCTATGAATTCCGTAACTCCATTCCAGGCTTCGTGGTTACTGATCATGGTTTCGACAATGTTTTGCGTCGATAGAATTCCGTAGCGCTCTCTGACATTGTTTCTTTCCGAGTTCCATCGGATACACCTAAACATCGTGTGCTCAGGGGTGTCCTCTTTCCCACAGTATATACAGTTTGAATTAGTACTTGCCTATATTGCAGGTGCAGGTGTACTTTCTAAAGCGGCCGTGTCCGCTGAGAAATTGTGTTGTAAAGTGGTCTACGCTGCGGTGTTGACATGAAAACCAGTTGTTTAGGCTTGGAATTAGTGTTTTGCCAGGCTACTCTTGTCCATACTATTTCCTCTCTCCTTATAGCAACTGTTATTTTTTCTCCACTACTTTTCCGCGTGTGTAGTCTCACTCTTTCGTTGATCATAAGCCTAATCGGAGTTATTCCGGCTATTACGTTCGCCGCTTCACTTGATATTCTTCGATATGCGCTTGTCACTCTAATCATCATTCTTCTCTGTATTCCTGTAGCATTGCTCCGTATTTTTTATGTCTGCGGCTAAGTGCCACACTGGTGCTCCATATAGGAGTAACGAGTGTACCACGTGGCTTAATACTTCTCGTTTTGCGTAGAATGGTCCTCTTATGTTAGGCATTATTCGCGCCAAAGCTGAGTATGATTTTTGCGCTTTCTTTATGGTTCTCTGGATATGTTCATTAAATATGAGCTTATCGTCTATGTGTATACCCAGGCATTTGGCACTTTTTGTGGGGATGACCTCCATGTTTCCTATCCTGAAACTGATACCATCTCTTTTTCTGGGCCCCTTGAAGATGAGCGCCTCTGTCTTTTGTAGAGCCAGCGTGAGTTGGTTTCTCTCCATAAGTGTTAAGGAGTCATTCGCTTTTGCCATAAGTCCCAGTTTGGAGCCTGATCTAACTACTTGGGTGAGGTCGTCTGCGTAGGCTACTCGTCATATATTACGTTCCACAGAGTCGGACCCAGTATGGACCCTTGTGGGACCCCTTGGGACATGATTTTGTACCCGTTCACATATATATGATCAAGTTCCTGAGCCACCCCGGTGTGTTGCATTCGTGTAGTCTCCTCAAGACTATACTCCACTTTGCCGTGTTGAATGCATTCTTAACGTCAATGCATATCATTGCCTGCCAGTGATGTTTGGTGTCTCCTATTATGGCTTTATGGCTTCTACGGTAGATCGTCCGTTGTGGAATCCGAATTGGGTCTCTGAAATAAGGTGCTCTTCTAGTTTGTTTTTTATTAGGTGTTCCAATAACTTGCCCAGTACGTCCAAAATACAAATTGGCCTGAATTTCTCGTCTTCTATGTTTCCCTTAGGGATATGAGCTACTCTTTCCCTTTTCCAGGGTGTCGGGAAGATCTGTTGTTTGGCTATATTGTTGTACACTCGTAGAAGTTCCATTGGCATTACTCCCGTGGCCGCCTTAACGGTTGCCGGAGTAATACCATCAGGCCCTGGTGATTTTCCTGGCTTTAGTCTTGCGGAGGCCGCAATTAGTTCTTCGGCTGTAAAAGTTTCGTAGTCCGGTGACGTCTCGCGAGCTTCGTTTTCCTCTATCCAGTCTGGAAAGAGTGTATTTATGATTTGTCTTTTCTTCCGTTAGGCAGCTCGTATGGCGATGACTGACTTCTTAAAATTCGGGTGGCGATTTTATATCCCTGACCCCATATGTCGTTTTCTAATTCGATACATAGCTCTCTCCATCTCTCTCTTTTTGATCGATTTATCTCATGTTTGTATTCTTTCTTGGAGCCTTTATACCTAGTTTCTATCTCCGCCAATTGCTCCGGTGTGGTTGTTCTTCTACTTCTGGCCCTAGTGAGGTGTCTTCTACAGGCGTTACATATACTCCTTCTCTCCGCGATGTCGTTGTTTCACCAGTATGGGGCATTCGTGTATGTTTGTGGTGTGTATCTGCTTTCGCTGGCTTGTTGTGCAGCTTTTAGAGTGTTGACTAGTTCTTCGTGCGAGTCTCCGGTATTATATGTTTGAGGAGTTCCAGAGTATTGTGAAGACATTCGGTATCCACTAGTCTATTCGGAGCGTAGATCATTTGCTTCTTTTTTTGTGTTGCCCCCGTTTGTACAATCTCAAACATTATGAATCTGTGCAGACTCAAAGATTCTTCTAGCGATACTCTCCAATTTTTGGTTCTCCTGAAGGTTCGTTGTGACGCTATTGTGATATCAATGAATGATTCACTCGCTCCCCTAGTAAAGGTGGGTACTTGTACATTGTTTAGAGCGGTTAAGTCTAGGGTGGCCATCCAGTTCTCAAGATAGAAACCTCTTTCATCTGTGGTGTTTGGGCTCCAATGCGATGATTTCGCATTGAATATATCCCAGAACCAAGTTAAATTTATCAAATGGTATACCTATGTACCCATGCTTCGAATGTATCCCCTTTACTTGAATTCTCCTGTTTCTGAAATAGATAGCTACGTCTATCCGTCGGTCTACGGTCCACCTTGTTGCTCGTGTCACGTAGTTCTTGTTCGGCTCGCTAATCACCAGTATGTCTGCTTCGAGCTCTATCGCTGTCGCGTGCACCAGGTCCATTGCCCGCTTGGATCTTTTCAGGTTGGCCTGCAGTACCCTAATGTGGGATTTCTTTAGGAGTTCCGTGTAACTTGTGTGACGCTGCTTGTCACGCTTGCCATGCTTGCGGTACTGTATTTTCTTACTTTCGATCTGGGTGCCATGCGGCTGTTTCTGGCCATTGTTACCAGCGATTTAAAGACTGGGCACTTTATCTGGTCCGCCCTATATCCTCCTTTTCGGCATTTAGTGCAGAAGACCTCTTCCTTGCATTCCTTGGCAACGTGCCTCGTCTGGCCACAGTTAAAGCAGGTTTGGGACTTGATCTTCTGGGACTTGCACAACCTAACCTAACCTAACTTTTTTTTTTTTGACGGGTGGGCATGCTTTACTACGCACACTGTCTACCGGTTCTACCCTTCGACAGTAGTGTGGAACTCCCCGGCTCATTAGTGCAGGTCCGGTATACCCACTAAACCCACCTCTCACCCAGGCGCTGGTATCGTCCTTCTGGACCTGCGTCAGCATCTGGGATCAGGTCTTCTACATTGCCTGGTCGGCCTGTATCGCTCTTTCCAACGTCTCCTTTTCCTTCATTACCTGGCGTATTAAGTCGTGAACCACTTTCCACTCTTTTTTCCCTTCTAGCATAATTTCAACTAGGTTTTCCTTAGTAAGTCTTCCCACTTTTGTTTCCGCGTCTTCTCTTATTCCTAGCCATCTTGGACAGTGGAGCACAGTATGTTCCGGTGTGTCATTATTTTCTACGCAGCTGATGCATTGTGTTGTTTCAGTTTTCCCTATTCTTTTCGTGTATGTCCCAAACGCCCCATGTCCCGATAAGAATTGGGTTAGGTAATAGTCCGTTTCCCGGTGCATACTTTTCACCCATCCCTTCAAATTGTGGATCGCTATTTTCGTCCAAGGACTTTTTTCTTTTTCAGATTCCTTTGTCCATTCCTGGTTCCATTTCTCTAGGGTTGTTTCTCTCTCAGCGTTCTTTGCTCTTTCTGTATTTCCGTCTTCTCTCTTGTACAGTCTTACCCTTTCCTCCGCTAAAAGGTGTATAGGAGGTACACCTGCGATCACTTGGACCGCCGCCGTGGACACTAACCTGTACGCGCTCGTTACTCTTAGTAGGGCCTTTCTCTGTGTGCTGTTTATTAGGTTTCTGTATTTAGTCAGCTTGAGTGCTTCACACCATATTGGCGCCCCATAGAGTAATATCGATTGCACGACCCCGTACAGCATTTGTCTCTTCTTTGAGCTTGGTTTGTCATCATTCTTGACAACACCGCTAGTCGATCCTCTGCTTTTTTTGTAGCGTAAATAATGTGTTGGCCGAACATCATCTTGTTGTCAACTACCACTCCCAGATATTTAATTTTCTTTTGGTGTTGGATTATGCCTCTACCGACCCTAAACGTTATCCCCTGTCTCTTCCGTGGTCCTTTCAGGATTAGTGCCTCTGTTTTGTGTTCTGCGACCTCCAGCTTATTTTCTCCCATTTTCTCCAAGATGTCTTCTATGGCATTGTTCCCTTTCCTACATAGCTCCTCTGCATCCTCTGCTTCGATGGCTATCAGTAGGTCGTCAGCGAACACGATGACGGATACCCCTATTTTCAGCTGCGTTTTAAGGATTCTGTCATATTGGATGTTCCACAGCATTGGTCCCAGGACTGAGCCTTGAGGAACCCCTGCATTTACCTTTTTCCTATTTAGTTTTTCAATTATAATTTCTCTATGTGACAGGTATGCGTCAATTAGATTCCTCATGGCTCCTAATGTTTACTTTTCTTCCAAGCTATCCATAATGACTTCCCACGAAGCGGTGTTGAAGGCATTCTTGATGTCTATCGCTATCACGGCAACCCACTTATTTCTACTGTTTCTCGCTAGCTCGATTAGTTTTTGAACTGCCTGGATGGTAGATCTTCCCTTTCTGAAGCCGTATTGTGCTGGGGAGAGTCCTTCCCCCACTTCCCTCTCAAGCCTTGACTTTATCAGTTGTTCGTACAATTTTCCTACCGTACTTAGAAGACAGATAGGTCTGTATCCTTTTATTTCTTTGTCCTCTTTTCCACCTTTTGGTATTAGTACCAGACTTGCTTCTTTCCACGATCTTGGAAAGTCCTGGTCTCTAAGCAGTTTGTTCAGTGCTTCTAGTAGTACTTCTGGTGCTATGTGGGCTACGACTTTGACAGCTTCCGGTGGTATTCCGTCGGGACCTGCTGCTTTTCCTGTCTTTATTCTTGTTGCGGCATCTGTTAGTTCTTCCCGACTGAATGGCTCTGGCGCAGTTTCCTCCTTTCTCCACCTGGATATTCTGTCTTCCCTATCCGGAAACAGCTTTACACCCCATTCCATTTTTTGGCCTATTGTTAGGTTATATGGCGCTTGGATACCGAGACTCTTGTTGACAATTTTGTATCCGTCTCCCCAGATGTCATCTTTCAGCTCTTTGCAGAGTTTCCTCCAGTGTTCCCTTTTTCCTCTTTTGATGGTTTTTTGGAGATCGCTTTTTTGTTCTGTTAGAGTTTCGCAAAGATCTCTTGTCCTAGGGTCGTCCGGGCCCAGTCTTTTTGTGGCTCTCATTGTCGCCCTTCGTGTTTGTTGGCATATTGATCTTTTTGTTTCTATCTCTGCACTCCACCAGTATGGAAGTCTCTCCCTGTCGGTTCTTAGAATTCTCGTAGCTTCCTTTACAGCATTTTTTAAGTCTTCTGTGAGTGTTCTGGAGTCGTGCGTGTTTCTTAGATTAAATTTGTCTTTGACTATTTTAGAGAAAGTTTCTATGTTAAAAAATTTTTTCTTTTTTCCTTGTTGATTTATCCCTTTTGTCCCCTCCGAAATTCCTATATAAATGTAGTGGTGGTTGGTGTACACATCTTGTTTTTTCAGTTGCCATTCTATAATTTTCCTGTGCAGCTTTCTCGTTGTGAAAGTTACATCTATGTGAGACTCTGAATTTCCTCTTTGAAAAGTGGGTTCTCCGTTATTCTCTACTTCCAGTCCTAGCTCTGTTATCCACTCGTGGAGGTGTGAGCCTCTTGAATCTTCTCGGGGTGCTCCCCATAGTGGAGATTTTGAGTTCAAATCACCCGCTATCATGTACTCCATTCCTGTATTTTTAGCATCCTCTAATATGTTGTCTAGTTTAGTCTTGTACTCTTGATGTTGAATATTTGGCGAAATGTAGCATCCGTACAAGCTCCACGAATTGAACGTTATTTTTACAAATCCGTTCGCCTTTTTGTGGTTTTCAATCCCTATGTTTTTATTTACTATGTATATCGCCACGCTGTTCTCTAAGTCCAATATGTAATTATACTTTTTGGCTATGTTGATATTTGGCTCTGATATTACTGCCATATCGATCTTCTCGTTCATCATGTCTGCGTATGCTAGGTCGTGAGCCATTCTGGACCTTCCTAAGTTTAGTTGGAGTATTCTCATTTTAGTTAGTTACGGAAGGGGTCACGCTGGTCCGTCTCCTACTTCGTTCCTCCTCAACTGCTTTCTTGAACATCGGACAGCTAATTTGATTAGCACGGTGTCCTTCTACTTTACATTTGATACATCTAGGGTTGTTTGAGCAGTCCTTTACTAGATGTCCATCTTCTCCGCATCTGAGACAGGTTATCTCTTTGTTTACTGCTGCCTTGCAGTCGTTCCTTCTGTGCCCATATTCTAAGCACTTGTAGCACCTTACCATTTGGATCCTCTCCTTAATATTGCAGTTCAACCACCCTATTTTTACTTTGCCTGTCGCTACCATTTTTTTCCCTTCCCTTCTAGGAACTTCTATTGTAGCCGTATTCTGGCCATACTTTCCTTTTGTTATTTTTATGATATTGACCATACCCTTTACCATATTAAATTCCTGGTTGATTGCTTCCACGACTTCATCTTCCGGGGTAACCTCGTCGAAGCCCATAATGAAGAGGGTTGTCTTTTCTCCTGTCCTGATGTCTGCGTTTCCTATTTTTTTCTTGATTTCATCCTTTAGGATTTCCGCTTTTGTCTCGCCTCCCTCGACCGCTAATACAATGTCCCCCCTGCCAGTTTTCTTTATTTTCCTTATGTCTACTTTATTGGCTCCCAGATCTACTTCCGTTTTTATTTGCTTGAGCAGTTCCGCGTAGCTTTTTTCCCCCGTCCTCACTGTCACGAAGCCGTTTTCGTTCCTCTTTTGTTGCCTTTTCCCTGGTTGGCAGTAGAGTATTACGTCTGTACTTCTAAAGACGTACTCGAGTATCTTCCTGCAGTATCTCTTATCTATTTCCTCTACGAGGGCAATCGTAGCGGTTTTACTCTTTGTGTCTTCCATCATCTGCCGAAGTTTCACTAGTGAGTTGTATATCTCCTCCAAATCGTTTATCCCATTCTTGTCTACCTGGGTTGGAAGTAGAAAGATGAACTTGTCTTTTCTGATCTTTTTTCCCTTTCCCGTGGTAATATTTGTCGTTTTCGATAGGTATTCAACTTCCGTTCTTAACATTGTTGTGAGGATTTCTCGCGTTTCTGGATTCTCATCCATCACTAGTTCCGCTAGTCCAGTAGCGTCTTTATTCGGGTCGGCTAGTATCGCTACATCTCTTTCTTTTCCCTCTTTGATAGGATTACCCTGTTCTTCTTTCGTTCTCTCAAATAAATCTTCTGGCCATTTCTCGTCTAGGAAAGGGGTGATTTCTTCAAACGTTCTCCCTTCATTTAAGGTCTTAAGTAATTTCTTTCTCTTTTCCCTTTCTTCCTCTTCGCCATTGACTATTCCGGTTTGAGTTCCTGCCTCGCACGTTGTAGGTTTTGTAGGTTTTGTAGTTTATCTTTGTTGGTGGCTTTGGTGGCGTCACCATTATGGTTGCCTTTTCCGTTTTCCTTTTTATGCCTTTTTTGATTTGCTCTGTTTCTTCCTCCTTCCTTTTTTTACTTGTGCCTTGCGCTATCGAAGAGTTTGTTCTTTCCCTGAATAGTGAGAAAGAGTTTTTCCTTTCCCTTAATATTTCACTGTTCTCCGTGATAAAAACATCATCCTCTTCTTGACCCTCTCCGCTTCTCTGTCTTTTTGTTCCCATACTGGCTTCGTTGTTTTTGATATCAATGCATATCAGTGCCTGCCAGTAGTGTCTAGTGTTCCCAATTATTGCTTCCACCGCTTCTATGGTGGACTTTCCCTTGCGGAATCCATATTGCGATTCTGAAATAAGTATATGTTCTTCCAGCTTTGCTAGTATGAGATGCTCAAGTACTTTTCTAAGAACGTCTAGGATGCAGATAGGTCGGTACTTATCCTCTCCCGTTTGTCCCTTTGGGATCAGGGCGACTCTAGCTTTTTTTCAGGTTTTCGGGAATGTTTGTGTTTTAAGAATCCTGTTAAAGACTTTTATAAATTCATCCGGCATCGCATCTATTGCGATTTTGACCGTTTCCGGCTGGATCCCGTCCGGGCCTGCGGCTTTACCTATTTTTATTTTCTTCCCTGCCTTCGCTAAGTCGTCTAGTGAACATTGACTGTAGTTTTCTGCGGCTACCCATGTCTCCGTGTCTTCATCCCAGTCCGGGAAGAGTTCGTCCAGCAGTTGTCTCTTTTTTGTGGTGGGATATCGTAGGGTGTCATTGGTCTTTTGAGCTGCTTGGTGACTATCTGAAAACCTTGTCCCCACACATCTTCTTCAAGTTTCTCGATCAAGTTCTTCCACTTCTCCTTTTTAGAGTATCTTATTTCATTACGGTATTATGTCTTAGCCTGTTTGTATTGACGTTCCAGTTCCTCCGTTTGTTCAGCGGTAACTCCCATGTTCGCTCTTGCCCTTCTTACTTTTCTCCTTGCCTTGTTGCATTCTTTTCTTCTGGCCTTTACTGTTTTGTTCCACCAATAGGTCTCCTGTTTTTGCTGTTGTGTTCTTCTGTCAATACTGAGAGTCTGTGCTTTCTTTATCACCCCTATTAGCTTTTTGTGAGATTCGCCAATGTTGTGTCTCAGTATATCGATAGCATTCCTTATTATAGCTGGATCATGTTGTATTTTCCGTGAGAATATAGTCTGAGTTTTTCCTTTCTTCCCTGAATTTAGGATTTCGAACAGAATGTTTCTGTGGAGGCTCAGAGATTCCTCTAGGGACACTCTCCAGTTAGTTATCCTTCTAAAGACTCTTTCGGTGGCTAGGGTAATGTCGATGTATGAGCTGCTGTTTCCTCTTACGAATGTTGGTGTTGTGCCACAGTTTGCTGGGATGAGGTTCAATATGGCCAGCCATGTCTCCAGGTAATTGCCCCTTTCGTCATTTACGTTCGAGCTCCACTGTCTAGACTTAGCATTCAGATCCCCTAGTATTATTATGTTTGGGTTATTTGTTTGTCTGACGTTCTCCATTATCTCGTCTATCTTCGCTTTATAGTCTACTTTCGGGATGTTTGGGGAGATGTAACAGTTATAGATTATGCAGTCATTCACTGCGAGCCATTCACTGCGAGCCATTGGAAACCGCTGCTGCTTCCTTGTTTCCAGACGCCCACCCCTTTGTTCCTTACTAGGACGGCGACGTCCTGCCTTGCGTCGGTGAGTAATCCCATTTTGTTAGCTATTTTCCTGTTGGGTTCTTGGTACATGCTAAGGTCAACGTTAGATTTTTCTGCGGTGACTGTTAATACATCGTGAGCTCTTATCGCTCTACCGACATTAATTTGTAGTATTTTGAGAGAGAAGAGAGAGTGTTTACGGTTCTGTATGCAATGTAGTCGCCCCTATAGTGTCCAGGGTGGCTTGGGCCTCGTCCACCAGTCGGCTGAACTCAGCGTTCTGGTCTTCCTCCATACAGTTTTCTTCCAGAGGTAGGGGTACCTGTTCCTTAGTTTCCTCTTCATTAGTTCTGTTGTGTGTGGGCTCCTCCCTTGTGTATGCAGTTGTATTTGGGGCTCTATTCCTTTCTTCTATCCTGGCTTGCTTCAGAGCTGCCTTGAATTTTGGGCACTTCATGGTACCTATTTTATGGCCTTTTTCCTCGCACAGGACGCATGCTTCCTCATTCTTGCATTCATTGGAATTGTGTTCTGTCTCACCGCATTTGTAGCAATTTTTAGTTCGGTCTGGACCGGTACATTTGTCCGAGTGGTGGTCATGTGACCAGCATTTTTGGCACTTTTGTATATTTAGCCTCTTTTCGACTTTGCATTTGGCAAGACCTACCCTGAGGAAGTGTGTCATTGCTAAGTGGCCGGAGCTCACTTAGCTTGTTTTCTCCCTCCCAAGTGCCTGTCAAGTTCATGACCGCCGTTTTGATGTCCTCGGCTGTGACGTCTGCCTCCATCCCTCTAATGTGGATTGCAATATGTTTGTCTATCCCTAGTCTTCTTGTTCTTAGTCCGGTATCGCTACCGTTAGGAGCTTGGTGTAAGTTGTTAAGCGCTTCCTTATCTTTGTCGATGGTTAGTAATAATTTTCTCTTGCTCTTTAGGTTTCTTATGGCCATGGCCGATTGGTTATTTCCACCAGAGCTTTTACCTTCCCCAGGACATCCTTGTAAGATTTATTACCCTCGCTTACGATCATACCGTACGTAGTTCTTACCCTCTCCTCGCTTCGGATGGAGACTGTGGTGTTGCTAGCGTGGAAGATCGTCTCTGTCATCTTCTGTAGTGTTTCGTTGGTCATACTCTTGATGTGATGAATAGCTACCCTCTCATCCTCCAGGGAACCTAACCTAACCTAACCTAACCTAACCTAACCTAACCTAACCTAACCTAACCTAACCTAACCTAACCTAACCTAACCTAACCTAACCTAACCTAACCTAACCTAACCTAACCTAACCTAACCTAACCTAACCTAACCTAACCTAACCTAACCTAACCTAACCTAACCCTAACCTAACCTAACCTAACCTAACCTAACCTAACCTAACCTAACCTAACCTAACCTAACCTAACCTAACCTAACCTTACCTAACCTAACCTAACCTAACCTAACCTAACATAACCTAACCTAACCTTTTTTTTTAATAGAAGGTGGAAAATGCCTTTACGCACATGCCTACGTTGTTCAGGGATAGTGTGGGACTAATACCCACTAAAAACCACCTTCTATAGGGCCAAGAGACCCCTCCCGGAACCACCTTAGCGGTATAACGTCAGAGGGACCTACGTCTTTTTTAAAATCTAGGATCTCTCTCATTTTTCTCTTCCATCTCTTTCTGCTTGAGCACCAGAAATAAAACGGTGTCGTTTTCTCTTATTTTCTTCTTCTCCTAGCATATAATTTATCAGCTCGCTTGGTCTCATTTCCTCTATGTTAATGTCTAAAGCTGATCTTTCGTTGCTCCATCTGCAATACCGGAAAATGGTGTGCTCGGGATCATCCACCTCTTGATTGCAGTAGACGCACCTCGTATCTGGGACCTTTCCAATCTTGTGTGTGTACGATCTAAAACATCCATGTCCACTGAGAAATTGGGTTAAATAGTAGTCGATCTGTTTAAAGCGACATTTCAGCCATTTCATCAGATTGGGTATAAGTATCTTGGTCCACTGGGCTACTTCTTGAAGTTCTGACCATCTCCGGTTCCACGTTTCTATGGTCGCTTCCCTCTCTCTTAATACGTATGCTTCCGTACCTCTGCCAGCTCTGTAGAGCCTACCTCGCTCTTCTATTTGAAGATCCATCGGAAGAATACTAGCGATGACCGCTACGGCTTCCCCAGATACAGTTCTGTATGCGCAGGTAACTCTCAGCAACATCTTTCTTTAAGTACTGAGTATCATGTTCTTGTACTTCTTCATGTTGACCACCTTTTCCCATATGGGTGCCGCATACAGAATTACAGATGCAGCCACGCCCGATAGCATTCTTCTTCCCATTATTCTAGGGCCTCTTGTGTTTGGTAGCAGTCTAGATAGGGCCGCTGTTTGTCTTCTAGCTTTTTCGCATGATTTTCTGACATGTTCAGTAAATACTAGCTTGTCATCGAGCCATACTCCCAGATATTTCACATGTTTGCTAGGGGTCACCACCGTGTCTTCTATATTAAAAACAGTATCCGATCTCTTCCTAGGCCCCTTCAGGATTATCGCCTCTGTCTTCTCCGCTGCAATATCCAGTCCCTGCGTTCTTATCCAGTGGATTATGTCCGTAATGGCCTTCTCCGCTTTTTTAATTAGGTCTTCTTTTCTGTTCGCTTGTACTATAAGCGCGAGGTCGTCCGCGTATGCCGCCGTTGAACATCCGTTAGGCATGTTAATCTCAAGGACATTATTATATACTACATTCCATAGTAATGGACCCAGCACAGATCCCTGTGGAACTCCTTGTTGCATGCTGATCTGTCCCTTTCCGACTAAAAGTGATCTTTCTTTAAAGTATTCCCCTGTTATGTTTAGTAGGTAGTCACTTAGGCCCATCTTCGTAAGTGCTTCCAGAATCCTGCTCCATTTGGCGGTGTTAAACGCGTTTTTGATATCTATAAAGATCACCGCTCCCCAGATCCATCCTGGGCAAAATGCCTTCCTGATCACGTGTTCGATTGCTTGGATTGTTGACTTCCCCTCTCTGAATCCGAACTGCCTATCTGATAGGCCTTGGTTTACGGCTATCTCTTCTTGCATCCTCTTCTTTACCATGTGTTCCAATAATTTGGCCATGATGTCTATTAGGCATATCGGCCTATATTTTTTTCCTTGGCACGCGTGTCACCCTTTGGGATCAAAACTACCTTGGCCTTTTTCCATCTTGTTGGGAAGTTTTGGGTCTTAAGGAATTGGTTAAACATATTTAGCACCAGTAACAGGAATTCTTCCACCACAATCTTAATGGTCTCTGGTAGGATGCCGTCTGGGCCTGGAGCCTTTCTTGATTTAAGTTTTGCCACGGCGCTTTCAAGCTCCTCCAGGCTAAAGGGAGGTGGCTCTGCACACCGTATCTTACCGAAGATTGGTTCGTCTCTCGTTGGAAGAAAAAGTTCCTTGGCCTTATTTACCATCGTGGCTTCTTGTAACTCGTACGGTTCCAATAAGTGCTTGAACCTATTTGTGACTATCCGATACCCATTTTCCCAAAGGTCACTTTCCAGGTCGTTGCACATCTCTTTCCAGCAGTTCGTCTTGGCTTTCTTAATGCTGCTTCGTAGGTTCTTTCTTGCTCCCTTATATTCCAGCTCTAGTTCTTCAATAGCTTCCTGCTGTATTCCTCTTTCCCTTCCTCTTGTTAGTTTCCTTCTAGTTTGTATGCAGGTATCTCTGAATCGCTGGATTTCTTCGTTCCACCAGAAGGGCTGCTTCCTGTTTGTGTCCCTTTTCCTAATACCACTCATTTTTTGAGCTTTTTTGATACCTACTATAAGGTCTTCTAGAATCATGTCACTGTTAATGGTAATCTGAAGCAAGGCTCTGAGCAATGTCTTATCCAGAAACCATGTTCCTTGGTTTCTCGCTGGCATAGTGGGAGTATTTACTCTTACACTAAACGTAATGTATCTATGGAGGCTTAGTGATTCTTCGTCCGCGTGTACCTTCCACTCTGTTATTAACTCCGCAGTGTTCCTGGAGCAAAACGTCAGGTCCAAGAAGGATTTCTGTTCTTTTCTGACGAAGGTTGGTACCAAGCCGTCATTTATTATAGTAAGGTCAAGTGAGTGTAGCCATTCCTCCACGTAAGCCCCCCGCGCATTTAGCGTTTCTGAACCCCAAAGAGGTGATTTAGAGTTGAAGTCCCCCACGACTATTACCTCTTTACCCCCCTTTCTGATGTCCTCCATGAGTGTGTCAATATAGGCCTCAAAAATTTATCTGTTATCGTTTGGAGAAATATAGTTGTTGTATAGCAACCATGTCTTGAAATCTAGCCTTACAAAACCCCTTCCACAATAGTGTGATTGCACCCCGCACTTTCTGTTCACGCATTTAGCCGATACTAACTTATTTTCATCAACGATCCATCTCTTGTTCCTACTGGTCTCCGTTACGTTTGGTTCCTGAATAAGACATGTCCCTCTTCAGAGCCATGCTGTTTGCCAGGTCTTGGGCCCTTCTTCTGTCAGTATTAATTTGGAGTATTTTCAAATGTATCTTAGGCACTTATATGTATATAGCTATCCCGTAAGTATGTAAAAATATATGTATAAATAAAAGATGTATGTGTATAAATAAAATGTATACAAACTATATGTACCAATTAAGTGGTTATGGATTCACCTGTTGTCGCAGGATCAGGAGCTTTGCAGCTCACCTCCATGACTTGCGTGTCTTTTTCTACGTCACCACTTCTACTGCTGACCTGCATATGATGCTCATTTATCCTTGCCTATTTAATTTCTTCTCTTTGTTTCTGGCCTTGTTTAGGGCTCTTTTGAACTCTGCACATTTTATCGTGCCAAACTTGTGTTGGTTTTCTTCTACAGGACAGACAGGGCACTTCGCTTCGTTATTGCATGTGCTCGACGCGTGGTCCTTTTCTCCGCATTTGAAACAGAGATCATGCCTATCTGGTCCATCGCAAGTATCTCTGTTGTGATAGTCAAAACTCCAGCACCTAGTGCATCTTTCGACTTTTAAGCTTTTTTCCATTCTACCTCTAACAAGGCCGATTTTAATAAATTTGTTTCTAAGGAGGATATCGGCGTCCTCTTTTCGGACTGAAACGGTGGCTGCAATCGTGTTATTTGCCAGGGGACGGATATTTCCAATTCGGTTTTCTGCATTCCATTCTCCCAGCCTGTTGGTGATTGCCTCTTGCATTTCTTCCGCGGTGGTCACCAGATCCATACCTCTGATATGGATAACTTCCATTTCATCCTTCCCTATTTGTCTTATTTTTAATTCCGTTTTTTCCCTAAGAGCCTTCTTAATATTCACCATGGCCTGCTCGTCTTTGTCTAGGGTTATTAGGAGTTTTCCTTCCTTCGTACTGCGGATTGTTCTGATTTTGTCCATGTCCCCTGACCCTTTAACGGCGTTTTTGACATCAGCCAAAATATCTTTGTACGATTTGTTATCAGAGTTGATCAGCAGGCCATATCTAGGTCTTTCCTTCTTTATGTTGTTGATATTACCTTCGTGGTAGATTTTAACCTGTGTGTCGCTACCATGGAAGATGACTTCTGCCATTTTCCTTAGATTTACTAGGGCAACCCCTTCCATCTCGTGAATCGCTACTTTTTGATCTTCTTTGGTAGAGTCTCTTATCTGCTGCAGTGTTTTCCATAGGTCCACTTCAGTGCCATCGGTTTCCACTTTGTGCACTTTTTGCGTGGTAATTTTTTGGCCATTTTTTGTTCTTATGGTCGTACTAACTTCCATGGTCTCATAATTACCTTGCAGTTCTAGAAGTTCTTGGTACTTTTCTGCATACGATCTGAAAATGCCTTTGTCCATTTGGAGGGTGTCCCATTCAAGATGATCGATCTCTTTGTAGGTATAGTATAGTTCACTATACCGTTCACCGAGAACACGGTATCGGTAGGTAATGTTTGTGTGCCCATTTCGGATGTTTGTACACTTATTTTTTCGGTCTGGGTGTCCGCGCCATAGGTTATTTTTTATATAGTTTTCCACCTCTTCTCTTCGATCCATGGTTGAACCATTTTCCTACTAAATACTTCTACGTTCCTTTTCAGTTTTTGAGCAACTTCTTTAATGTTTTTTGTGTGTTAGGAAAGTCTGAAATAAATTTTTCTAGATCTGCTACAAGACTTTTATTTCTGGTAATGGCTTCTATTAAAGTAAAAGCCTCAGGACTTTCTCTCTTTTTATATGGATCAATGTGGATGCTGCCTCCTATTGATGTGTCTAGTCTCTTTTTTTGGGGTTTCCGATAGCGAGTTGCTTCTTTGTATTTTGCTGGGCATGCTTTGTTTCTTGTCTACTATTTTAGTCTCTTTCTTGTCTGTGTTTCCAGTTTCAGTAAAAACTCCGGACTGGTCGCCCCCGGTATCATTTGGTACGTTTTGTTGATAGCTCTTGTTTGTCAAACTGACCGAGTTACATCTTTGCAATGTGTTAAGTAAATTTAAACGGCTATACGCCCTGGATTTTCGTCTATCGTACCTATGTCTGGTCTTCCAGGTTTTAAACCTAACCCAACCTAACCTAACCTAACCTAACCTAACCTAACCTAACCTAACCTAACCTAACCTAACCTAACCTAACCTAACCTAACCTAACCTAACCTAACCTAACCTAACCTAACCTAACCTAACCTAACCTAACCTAACCTAACCTAACCTAACCTAACCTAACCTAACCTTTTTTTTCGTTGAGGGGAAACCGCTTGGCACCAACCGCTGGGTCTATGCAGTTGGTAGTGCCGACTAAAACCCCTCGTTCCACTAACGCTTAGCATTGGAACCGCCTGATTGGGCCTACTTTAACGCTGAGGTCTAGAGAGCGTCTCCTATATTTCTTATAGAATTTTCTTTTCCGTATCTTTATCTATTGTTACGGGGTTATTGAAACGCACTACACCCGAATAAATCACTTTTATTAATAAATGAAATAATTACAACGCCAATCGCCAAATATTAAACATGAATATAACACACGCCTTCGAACTCGATTCGATTCAAACTGATCCCCGCCGTCTCGCCTTCTTTGCTGGTACCGTCGTTCGCGCCTAGCTCCGATACCTGCGCCCTCTCACGCCGCTTCGATGCGTTGGGAACTTGGAGTCTCGACAGTGGCGTAACATTCGGCCATCCTGAAAAATTAAATGTCCCCATTAATTACATACACAGTAATAGTTGTCTTAGTCGATATCACTTTCAACATTCTGTCCCTGGCACTCCTCATCTGTATCAGATTCATACTCAACCTCATTCATCCCGTGATACCGTCTAAGAGAGTCTACAGCGACAACCACTTGGAAGCGCTTGTAGCCGCGAACGCCCTCTATCGCCTCAATTCGATATCGATCATGTCCTAATGCCTTACCTACTCTATACGGACCATCGAATTTATTTGCCAATTTACTACTTACACCTGCGCCCGCCCTTTTTGTAGCTGAATTTCTCCAAAGCACCAAATCTCCAATTTCATAAATGGTTGAAACTTTTCTACCTTTTATCAAAATGCTTTTTCATTTTACGTGCAGATTTTGTGATATTAGCCAAAGCCCTAGTGTGATCGGAATAAACTCTCTCCCCGGCTGAAAAGACCGGGCATGGGCCAGATACCACAGCCTTCTCTAGGTTTGGGAGCCCATCACTAACCGCACCTGCCGTGACTAATGGGTTCTGAAGTTTTAACCTTTTTCGATCAATGGGAGATGAAACATCTCTAGTCATAGCCCTTTTGTTGAGTAACCTTGAGCTTCGTCTCCTTCACCCACCTTGCTCATCTCGCCCGCCTCGCCCTCCGCGCCTAGAAACTTGGAGACCAAAGTCGTCACCCTGATCCACCAAGCGGGTGTCGATATTACCTAATACCCTGTCGGACTCACCAATCTCCTCAACCTCCTTAACCTCCTTCGCCTCGACATCGCTCCTTTGTACTGCACGCTCGACACCCTGAACACCCACCACGTTCTTGAGACTCCCACCAGCCCCGTTATTATCGTCGCTAGCTAGCTCGCCATCCGCCAAATCGGTTACTCGGCCATGACTATGGGAAAACATTAAGTGTGCAGGAGAAAAATGTGTCCCAGCATTTATCATATGATTGAGTCCCCACACAACATCCGACAATTTCTTGTCCCACCGACCTTCAGCTTCTACAGTCGAAGATAAGGCTTCCACAATCGCTCTGTTGGGTCTCTTTACTTGTCCGTTTGCCCTAGGCGTTGCCACCGCATTCAACACGTGCTTTACACCCCTATCCACCAAAAACTCCTTAAACTCCTTACTAGTAAACGCCTTGCCTCGATCCGATATGATTCGCCTTGGATAACCAAACTCGCCGAAAACCTCCTTTAAACGAACAATAGTTTCAGACGACTTAACAGATTTTGTAGGCTTCGCTATAAAAAATTTAGTAAATCCATCCACCACCATTAAAATATAAGAGTTACCTTTAATGATTTTCACAAATGGGCCCAAATCGTCAAAGTGTATTGTATCAAATGGTACTGGTCGACGCACAATTGGATGTAACAACCCTTTGACTAAACCGTAGTGACCTTTTGCAAATCCACACCTCAAACATGACTTGACATACTTAGACACAAAAAGTCGCATCTTAGGAAACCAATACGTCTCTGATATTAAAATTAGATACCTTTCAAGGGCCGGGTGACCTATGTCATCATGATGCTTTCTAAGAATACTAAATCTAGCCATAGCTGGTACATATAACCTATCTCCATGCAAAGTTATACGATAAAGTCGCCCATGTTTCACTTTATAAAGCGCCTTGGTCTGTTTGTCCACGTTTTCTGATGCCAGTAGTCTCACAATTTCTTGCGCCTTAGGATCCTGCAGCTGCGCCGTTAAAAACCAATCATTCTCCGACATTGTAACAATATTTACGCAGACTTTATCAACAGGTGGGTTCCTACTTAAAGCATCAACATGCTGCATACGGTTACCAGGTCGATATTCTATCTCCATGTCATACTCCTAAATCGCCAACCACCACCGAGCTATTCTAGCAACCAAGTCTCTCTTAAGTAACGCCGCTCTCACAGCTACACAGTCAGTCATCACTTTAAAACGTTTTCCAACTAGATACACCCTAAAACGCTTAACATATTCAACTACAGCCAACGTTTCGAGCTCATAACTGTGATACACCTGCTCCTGCACCGTGGTAGCCCTACTAAAATATTCAACAGGCCTCAATTTGTAATCTGTCCCTTTTTGCAAAAGAATACCTGACAATCCCAGCTTAGAAGCGTCAGTATGCAGTTCTGTATTCGCCTGATTGTCGTACAATGCTAACACAGGCCTATTCGCCAGAGAATCCTTGAGTAAATCAAAAGCCTCCTGTTTCTCACTGCTCCAACTCCAAGGTACATCCTTCTTAGTAAGAATAGTCAATGGTTTTGCCAACACCGCGAAGTTTCTAATAAATTTCCTAAAATAAGAAGCTAAACCAATGAACTGTCTAACACCATGCACATTCCTAAGTATTGAAAATTCTTGTACGGCTTGTATTTTACGCCTTCCAGGACGAATACCTTCTCCAGTCACCTCGTGTCCTAAATATTCAAGAGTATTTTGCAAGAAAGAACATTTCTCCAGTTTGAGCTTAACACCTGCTTGTTCAATCAACCCTAAAACCATTTCTAGCATCGCTAAACCCTCTTCTTCGCCTGCAGCTGGTATCAAAAGATCATCGATGTAAGCTAACACCTCGCCATATCTCAGTTTACCTAACATCTTATCAATGATGCGCTGAAACACCGCTGGTGAATTAGAAAGACCAAATGGCACTAGCAAATATTCATAATGGCCATCCGGTGTGATAAACGCTGTTTTATCCACTGAATCTGGATTCATTGGCACCTGAGCTAAATCTAAAATGGTAGAGTTTTATTCGCCAATTTAGTAAGCTGATCCGAAATCAAAGGTAGTGGGTAACGGTCCTTAACAGTGACAGCATTTAAAGTCCTATAATCAACACACATCCTTATCTCACCAGACTTTTTCGGTATCAACACAATAGAACTAGCATAAGCAGATTCACTTTTTCGTATCACACCCGCCTCCAAAAGAGTCTCCACCTTCTGCCTGACCAGCTCTCGTTCATGATGAGATAACCTATAAGGCCTATAATATACTGGTACGTCAGTAGTTAATTTTATTTGCATGCTTCCTAAGTTAGTTAACCCAATATCATCCTCACCTGTGGAAAAACACATAGATTTACGCTTTATTAAGGAACATAGACGTTTTCTACATGTCGCCGATATATATCCTACATTTAAACCTGAAATGTCTAAGCTACTATTATTAGATAAGGAAAGCTTTCTCATTTGTGACTCCGACGCTCCCGTTACGTCATCGCTCGGCTGGCACGCCTCCACTCGTGCGATGAGACGTCCTTTCCTCCATTGTATCTCGTCGTAGCCGTCGTTGACTACCTTCACCTCCTCCAGACAGGTTCTCAACAGCCCCGATGGAATAAGGACATTGGAGGCTTTATGGGGGAAGTACTTCTTTTCCATGAAGTATATTGTGCCCGGAACGCCATTTGTCACCCTCACCTTAATCCTGCTGACAAAATTGGGCTGCAACACACATCTTCCGCCAGTAGCGCCTTCGGTCTGGTAGACTCGCCGTCCAAGGATATCTCCTTCATCAAATCGTTGATGTCCGGGTCCCTCCTCAGATATGACTTCCCATTCCTCACCACCATGGTGATTCCTGAACCATTGATGGTTGGCTGGCCCAGAAGCAGCTCGATGCGGCCCATCTCGTCGTCAGTTACCAACGCCTTCACGGTGTGCACCTCGTCGAAAAGGGTCATCTGGAATGACACTTCTCCCAGAGAGGTTGCTGCTCCGCCGCCGAATCCACAGAGTTGGACATCGCCTTCGTCTATGTCTAGATCAAGCCGTCTTACCGTAGAGAGGGAGATAAGGTTCTGCTTACTCCCTGTGTCCAAGTAGGCCTTGACATCTTGGCCTTTCACCTTCACCAGATGCCTAAATCAACTATCAGAGGGAGTGATGATTAGTCTTACCTGCCTCCCAGAGGGAACATTACTCCTGTCGCCGCTGGTGGTCGCCGCCCTGCACTCCGGAAGCCGATGTCTTGCTTTGCCACAGCCCCTGCAAATGATGGATGGTGGACAAGGACAGTCTCTGCTCAGATGAGTCGTACATTTCTGACAGTTGTAGCAGCGCTTCAGGAAGGTCTCCTTCACTCGTTGGACAGCCGGTTCGGACCTCCTCGCCTTGGGATCCTCCCTGTAGCTCTCCAGGCCTGCCAAAAATTTGTTGTAGAGCTTGTCCGGGGTGTCGCAGTTGGCCGCCTGTTCATTGGTTCTCAGGTTCTCTGGTAACCCACGGATGATGCAGGAAACGGCGTTTTCTCCTCTGACGCCGATGCGGTCACACATGGCCAGCTTAGTGTGGTAGTAGGTGGTCATTGTCTCACCTGGTATCTTCCGCCTGGCTGCCAGCTCCTCCAACATGATGGCGAAGTCTCGCCTTCTTGGGAACGTCGTCCTCAGCTTCGCCTTCCACTGGTCCCAAGTCAGGTCATAGTTTTCCAACTGGTGGTACCAACGTTTAGCCGATCCCTCCAGCTTGGATTGGGCCAATATGGATTTCTCATTCGGGGACAATCCATGGATTTCTCCCATCTGGTCGATCTTCATCAACCACCGCTCGATGTTGGAATCCGCATCGTCGGGGTCGAATCGCTCGACCATGTCAGCCACGAACCACATGGATCTTCGTCCTCCAGCGCCGCTCACCTCATCGGTTCTCAGACTAGAAGGTCCTGGGGTAGCAGGGTCTACCGTTTCTCCCACCACTAGAGTCGCCTGTTGTTTGGCTATCCTCTCCACCGCCTTCGACAGTCCTCCTGCCAATAGGGCCTTTACCATGGTCTCCACCGGTATGCTGGACAGGTCTTCTCCTCGCCTCGAATCGGATCTGGCACCGCCCCGCCTTGGGGATGTAGACCGCCTTCTGTGCCTACGGTCGGATGTTGGTGAGTCACCAAGGTTGACATGCTCGTCGATTACGAGATCCATTTCGTCGTTAGATTTCGACATTTTACCTGCGAACAGAACAAAAGAAATTAGTAAAATACATACTTGGTGTTAGCCGTGACCCGATCCACCACGATCTAGTCACTCGCTGACACCTACAACCCAATCCTGGTGATAATCAAATCGCTAGGTGACAATCGGACCCAATCGAAAGGCAACAGGCTGACTGAGGGACACCAGCATGATCTGAAGCTCATTTCAACGTGCCTGTTTTATGTCCTGTCTCCTCACACAGTGGGCATGAATTTTCGTTTGTGCACTCCTTGGCGTTGTGGTCTTTCTTCCTGCACTTATAACAGCAGCCCGAGCGATCCGGCCCTTTGCAGTTCTCCATGTAATGGTCGTGCGCCCAGCACCTCTGGCATTTCATAACGTTCAGCCTCTTCTCGACCCTGCACTTTACAAGGCCGACTCGGAGGAATCCGTCTTCGATAATTTTGTCTCCTTGCTCCGTCTTGAGTGTCAGAGTGGCTGCTAATGTGTCATTCCCCAGTGGACGAAGTTCACTTATCTTGTTTTCCTCATCCCAGTTTCCTGTGGATTCAACTACTGCGTCTTTGATGTCATCTACCGTGGACTCAGCTTCCATGCCCCTGACGTGCATAGCATTTAGTTTTGTTAATCCGAGCCTTTTGGTCACGCCACGCATCCCTCGGCACGATAGCTTACACCTTGGATTCCGGCTTTCCTGGTCTGCTCCAACTTGGTTTTCTGTCGGGGTTTTCCTTCCCTCAGCCGATGGGTCCCCGTTTTATGGCGCCGGGAGCTCCCCATTCGCCCTCCCTATCTGGGTCGGACTTGTCGGTTTGCTTTTGTTAGCTGGGCGTAGTGTTCTTGAGACTGACATTTATTGGTGTAACGTTTTCGGCATACGTGACCCCTCCAGTGCCCCACCGACCATTTTGAGCTGTTTGTCGGCTTCACTATCCATTCCCGTCCCGTAAGGCTCTAGAACAGGGAGCTACTGAACCACTCCACCATCGGTAAGGTCTTACAGCTCCTAGGAGTGGTACCTAACCTAACCTAACCTAACCTAATCTAATCTAACCTAACCTAACCTAACCTAACCTAACCTAACCTAACCTAACCTAACCTAACCTAACCTAACCTAACCTAACCTAACCTAACCTAACCTAACCTAACCTAACCTAACCTAACCTAACCTAACCTAACCTAACCTAACCTAACCTAACCTAACCTAACCTAACCTAACCTAACCTAACCTAACCTAACCTAACCTAACCTAACCTAACCTAACCTAACCTAACCTTTTATTTTGTGGTGGAGGGGAAATGCTTTATGCACGAAGTATGCCTGGTTCTACCCGCATACGACAGTGAGGGACTGCAGGCTCTAGGTGCAAGTCCTGCTTACCCTCTAAAACCCCTCCTGAATATGCCTGGCTACCTGGGTATGCTTCAGTTGCCAGGTTGTCTTGTCTGGGTTCTATATGTCTTCCTGTCTACCCTGTCTTTCTCTCTCTTCTTGTTCTTTTTGCTCATTACAGCTCTTTTTAATGCTCTCGAAATCCTCTCGATTTGAAATCATGGTATCTGCTAGATTTTCGGCGTTGAGGTCCATGTTTAGTTCTATTCTTTCGATCCGCTTGTACTCTTCCAGTCTTATGTTCGGGGATATATAACAAGGGATGAGTGTCATGTCTTTAAATTTGATTATGATGTAGCCTTCCCGCTTAGTCACCGACTGTATTCCACACTTAGGATTTCTGATGTAGATTGCCACGTTTACTAGGTTGTCGGTTAGCCATCCCCTTTTCTTAACAATTTTCTTGTTTGGCTCGACTACTGTAAGGATATCAATATTTAATTTGCAGGCGCTTTCATGTGCCAGGTCGTGTGCAGTATAAGCGCGGCCAAGGTTGGTTTGTAGGATCTTCATAATGAGCATACAGCTAAGTTTAAAGCTGTATGAAATATAGATGTAAATAGATGAACTCTGTGTAAAAATAAGCTGTGTGTAGATAAATAGAAAAATAAACTGTGTGTAGATAAATAGACTGTGCAAATAAACTATATAGTTGGGGTCTCTGTGCTATCCATCTCCTGGTCTTGCGCGTGAGAATTTTGCCTGTTTAGACCCTTTTCCTTTTTTTGGCCTTGTTTAGGGCACTTTTGAATGCGGGGCATTTCATGGTGCCGATCCGGTGTCCTGCTTGTTCGCAGAGTGGGCAGTATTCCTCTTTATCGCAGTCCTTTGATTCATGTTCATCTCCTACACATTTGTAACAATTTTTTTGCCTGTCGACTCCTCTGCATTGCTGTCTGTTATGTTCGTAAGACCAGCATATCGGGCACCTGTCTACCTTCACCCTTTTTTCCATGTGACATCTAACCAGCCCGATCTTGATACTCCTTGCTGTCAGTAGTTTTTCTCCTTTTAAGGTAGTTATATTTACCGTGCATGTGAGCGTATTGTTTCTCATTGGTCTCAGGTCTCCCACTTTCCTGTCTATTTCGGATAGGTCTGCTGCTTCGTCGAGAGCTTCTATGACGTCGACTTTTGTTGTTCCTAACATCATGCCCCTGACATGAAGGGTCATGTATCTTTCTCCGGTTCCTAATTCTAGTGTTCTTAGCCCCATTTCTGGTTTCCCGAGTGCTTCTTTTATATTTACCAGAGCCTCTTCGTTTTTGTCTACGGTGAGGAGGAGTTGCCCATTCTTCGTACTTTTAACCGATCTTATGGCCTTAGCCGCTTCGTTGTTTGTAACTATACCCTTAACTTTTTCGAGTACTTCTTTGTACGTCTTGTTGCCTTTACTTACGATCATGCCAAAAGTGGGTCTTTCCATCCGCGGCTTGGTAGTGTAGATGTCCACCGCCGTAGTAGATTCCATAAAAATACATTCGATTAGTTTTCTTAGCACGTCATTTTCAATGCCTACAATATGGTGCATCGTGATCCTTGGGCATTCTATGGTCTCGTTTCTGACTCTCTCAAGTTTCTGCCAGATTTCTGGAAGTGTCCCGTCATGGCTTACTTTAAACACCTTTCTAGTGGTTGCGGTCCTATCGCCGATTCGTGTTATTTGCTCTAGTGTCTCGAAATCACCTGTTGCTCTGTTAAGATCGGGGTACTTTTCTTTGAAGAGCCTCTGTATGCTCAAATCCATTTCTTTGTCCTTAGGCTCTATCAACACTACCTTAGGGATATTATCTTCCGCTTCCAGTGGGTTCCCTATTACCATCCTGGTGTTTTTAAATAAGTTGATGTCCCATCTTAGAGATTTTATTCTCTCGAAATCTTCGTATTTACATGATTTTGGCAGAGAAAAGATCGGCAGTTGACTGTCCGGGTCGAAGTCTGTTTGCGTACTTATTTCCGCAGCGGTCTTAGGGACTGTCTGCGTATTCAGTTCATTTCTGTTATTACTAGCTCGGGTGGTGGTTTCAGTGACGATATGTATGTCTGTTTGGATATCAACGTCATAAGTCGCCTTCGGTACTGGCTCCATCTTATTGTTTTCCATCCACTGCTTTACTGATACTCTATCGAACACGCTTGTGCTTTTTTTGAGTTTCTTAGCAATCTCCTTGATTTTAAGGTGCGTATTGGGAATGTCCTTTATTATTACGTCAACGTCGGTGGCTAATTTAAGCACCGGTTTCATAGCCTCGGTTAAAATAAACGCTTCCGGGCTTTCCTTTTTTCTGTATGGGTCTTCGGGGGGTGTATCCATATATTTCCTTTTCTTGTTTGTATCACTGATCGAGTTGCATCTTTGCAACGTGTTGAGTAAATTTAAACGGTTATGCGCCCTGGGCTTTTCGTCTAACGTACCTATGTCTAGTCTTCCAGGTTTTACGGGCTGGTTGCCTCCCGTTGAATCGGTTTGATCTCCTTTATCTCCCATAATTATTCCCACGAGTAGGGTCGAAAAGACAGTCCAGCAGATCAGTGCGCCCTTGACCTGCTAAGGCATTGCCGAAGCCTACCCCACGCGCTCTCGCCATAACGGTGGGAGTCGTTCCAGACTCCTCTACCCCGGAGCCACGCATACCCTCGCCACGACTTTCCAGCTTGGTATTGGGGGATTTTTTCCAAGTATTACTTCTTGATGTCTGGTTTTCTGTCGGGGTTTTCCTTCCCTTAGCCGATGGGTCCCCGTTTTATGGCGCCGGGAACTCGCCATTCGCCCTCCCTATCTGGGTCGGTTTGCTTTTGTTAGCTGGGCGTAGTGTTCTTGAGACTAGCATTTATTGGTGTCACGTTATCGGCATAAGTGATATCGCCAGTGCCCCACCGACCATTTTGAGCTGTTTGTCGGCTTCACTACCCATTCCCGTCCCGTAGGGCTCGAGAACAGGGAGCTACTGAACCACTCCACCAACGGTAAGGTCTTAAAGCTCCTAGGAGTGGAACCTAACCTAACCTAACCTAACCTAACCTAACCTAACCTTTTTTTTTTTAGGAGGATAAAAAATGCATTTACGCACTCACAGCTAGATCCAGTTGCTGTGTTGTGTGGGACTCTAGATGTCTAATACCCACTAAAAAAACCCCATCTTTTGCAGTAACCCTTCCATCCACCCCGGGACCACCTTGCGGTTTTACATCAGGGTGGGGGTATGTGTCTCCATTGCTGATTTTAAGGTTTACACGTTAGTTCTTTACGGTGTCTATTGTGTTCTTGTGGTTTCTCATTCTTATACTCCACCCATTTCCTCTTCTTTACGTTTCATGATGTTCCTTATATCCCTTGTGATGGTGTTCCAGTTTTCCTTGTTGTCGATCATTTTATTTACTATGTTTTGTGATGTAAGATTTAGTCCTCTAATTTGATCCCTTTCGTTCCGCCATCTGATGCATGACAATATTGTGTGTTCCGGTGTATCTAGTTCTCCGCAGTATATACAGTTTGGGTCTGAAGCTTTTCCTATTCTATGAGTGTAGCTCCTGAACGAGCCGTGCCCACTTAGGAACTGTGTTAGGTAATAGTCCGTTCTCCTGTGCTCACAGTTTATCCAAGGTTGTAGCCTGGGGATCAGGATTTTTGTCCATTGTGCCACTTGCTCGGTATTGTCCCATTCCTCTTGCCACATGGTGGTGGAGTTTTCTTTTTCCTCCCTTCTGGTGTTGTCTGTTATTTCCTCGCCTGTTTTTTTCCTTGAGTGAATTCTCACTCTTTCCTTCACCATTAGGTTGATGGGTATGATGCCCCCGATGACATTTGCAGCTTCCCTGGAGATTGTGCGATAGGCATTGGATATTTTAATCATTATCTTTCTCTGTATTCCTTGTAGCTTTTTGCAGTAGGTTTTTATGTCAGTAGCCCTGTGCCATATCGGTGCTCCGTAGAGAAGGATAGAGTGTACCACATGGCTTAGGATGATTCTTTTCGTTTGGGAGGGGCCGCTTATGTTTGGCATAAGCCTCGCGAGGGCGGCATACGATTTTTCTGCCTTCTCAATGGCCTTGTTTGTGTGTTCGTTATATATCAACTTATCGTCAATATATTTTCCTAGGCATTTTACGCTTTTCGTTGGCGTGATGACCATGTTCCCAACGTTAAAAGTTACCCCTGTTCTATCCCTAGGTCCCTTGAATATGACCGCGGTTGTCTTTTGTGCTGCCAGCGTCAGGTTGTTTCTGTCCATCCACTCGTGTATTTGGACTAGTGCTTGGTTGGCTTTCTCTCTCAGTCCCCTACTCGACCCAGATCTCACAATCAATGTGAGATCGTCCGCATAGGCGACTGCCTCGCAGTCTGTAGGTCACGGCAGGTTCAAAATGTCGTCGTGTAGGATGTTCCACAGGGTTGGCCCTAAGACAGAGCCCTGTGGAACACCCTGGGTCATGGTTTTACTGTACCCTTTCACCGTAATCTGTCTGTTCTCGAAGTAGCTCTTGATCAGATTCAGGATCCATTCTGGAGTGTCACTATCTTGAAGTTTTTGGATTATCAGGTGCCACTTTGCGGTGTTAAAGGCGTTCTTAATGTCAATGCAGACCAGGGCTTGCCAATGGTAGTTTGATCTTTTTACTATTGCTTCGACGGCTTCAATAGTGGACTTCCCCTTTCTAAACCCATATTGAGAGTCGGAGATCGTTATGTGTTGTTCTAACTTGATCTTTATCAGGTGTTCGAGGAGCTTTCCCAGTACGTCCAGAATGCATATGGGTCTAAATTTCATATCATCAGGCTCGCCCTTAGGAATAAGAGCAACCCTGGCTTTTTCCATGTGGTAGGGAACCTTTGAGTTCTGGCGATGTTGTTGTAGACCTCTGAAAGTTCCATGGGTAGCTCTTTTGCTGCAACCTTCACTACTTCTGGGGTGATACCGTCTAGGCCTGGTGATTTCCCGTTTTTTATTTTTGTCGAGGCGTCTCTTAGCTCTTCTGCTGTAAAAAGGCCGTATTCTTGGGTTCTCTCCCATATTTCTCCCTCATGTTGCCAGTCAGGAAACAGATCGTCGATAACTCTCTTCTTCTCGTCATTCGATAGTTCGTAGGCTTGACTGCTGGTTCTTATGTGCCGGGTGGCGATTTTGTACCCCTGTCCCCATACGTCGTTCTCTAGGTCGTTACAAAGCTCTTTCCATTTATTTTTTTTTGATGTGTTTATTTCTTGTCTGTAATCCGCTTTCGCTGCCTTGTATATTTTCCGATATTGTGTTTTAGTAGGATCAGTGAGTTCTTCAGGGTTTCTTTGTCTATCCGGACTTTATTACTCCTGAGTTGTTGTTTTTTGTTCTTGTTTGTGTCTGGTGTACCCACTTCGAACGTAATGAAACGATGAAGACTTAGGGACTCTTCGAGAGATACTAGCCAGTTTTGTGTTTGTCTGAATGTGTTTTCCGATGCCAGGGTTACATCTATGTAGGATTCGCTCGATCCCCTTACGAAGGTGGGTGTTTGACCGTTGTTTAGGGTAGTTATGTTGAGTGTGGCCATCCATTGTTCGATGTAGGCCCCCTTGTCGTCAGCGGCGGTGGGGCTCCATAGCCTTGACTTTGCATTTAGGTCTCCCAGAATGATATAGTTTGTGCTACTTGATCTTCTAACATCCTCCATAATCTCGTCGATCTTCTTCTCGAATTCCGTCCTTGGGATATTTGGCGATATGTAGCAATTGTAAAGAGTTGTTCCACCGATATTGATTTTAATGTATCCTGTTTTACAGGAGTGCTCCAGTATGCCTACTTCTTTATTCTTAATATATACCGCTACGTCTTTTTTGGAATCTGAGATCAACCCTAGATTCATTGTATATTTTTTTTTAGGTTCTTGAAGGAAAATTACATCGATATTATGTCTGTTTGCCATGGCTAAAGCTACGTCGTGTGCCGGTCTAGCACGTCCGACGTTAATTTGTAATATTTTGAAGGTCATGATGAGAGAATAAAAAGCGTGTGTAAATTATGTATAAATAGGTGTGTGCGTATGTACAAAGGTGTATGTACAAGTGAGTTCCTTGAGGTATGGATGCTAGTTGGGTTGTTCGGTGCTGTCCATCTCGGCCACCGTGGCACGGGCTTCCTGAACAAGTTTGTCAAATTGCCTGTTGAAGCAGTCTTCCAAGGGATTTGGCTCTTCTACATCGACTTGTATATTTACTGGTTTTTGGGGCCTCTCGGTTGTGGGTGCCATGAAGTTCTTATTTCTCTCTTCAAGTCTAGCGTTCTTCAGAGCGGTTTTGAATTTTGGACATTTCATCGTGCCCATCTTGTGTCCTATCGCGTTGCATAGCGGGCAGGCCTCCTCGTTGTTGCAGTCTTTCGAGCTGTGGTCGCTCTTGCCGCATTTGAAGCAGTCTTTGGAACGATCTGGGCCATTACAAGTGTCGGAGTAGTGGTCGTACGACCAGCACTTCTGGCATCTTCTGATGTTCAGCCTTTTTTCTACCCTGCATTTGACTAGTCCCACACGTATGGAGCCATGTTCCAGAATTTTGTCAGCGTCTTTTGATTTTAGGGTGAGGGTTGCTGCTAGGGTGTCGTTATTAAGTGGGCGAAGTTCGCTTACTTTGTTGTCTTCCTCCCATTTGCCCGTGATGTCTATAATTGATTGCTTGATGTCCTCTATAGTGGTATCCACTTCCATTCCTCTCAAGTGAAGGGCTGTGCTCTTCTCCATTCCTAATCTCCTAGTTTTTAGCCCCGTGGTGCTGTCATTAAGCGCATTATGAAGGTTTTTTAAGGCTTCTTGGTCTTTCTCTATCGTAAGTAGTAATTTACCATCCTTCGTGCTTCTCAGGCCTCTGATAGATTTGACAGATGTGTTGTTTCCGACGATGGTCTTGACCCTGCTCAGGACATCCTTGTATGATTTCTCACCGTCGCTGATGATCATACCATACGTTGTCTTGGCCTTCTCCGTTTCTCTGTTGTTTGCTGTGGTGTGAATGGCCACCTTGGTGTTTGTTTTATGGAAGATTATTTCAGTCATCATCTGGAGCTTCTCTGGTGTGATGTTGTTTATGTGGTGTAATGCCACCCTCTCGTCTGTCAGGGTTTCTTCCCTGATTCTTTTCAGTTTTTCCCATATGTCCTTCGTGTTCCCGTCGTGCTGAACTTTGATTATCTTTTTAGTACTAAGTTTCGTCCCCTCGTGTTCTGATTTTATTTTCGTGATCTGCTCTATTACCTCGAATTCATCCTTGATGCTCGTAAGTTCCGGGAATTTATCCCTGTACAATCTCTGGATGCTCGAGTTCATTTCTTTGTTGGTATGTTCGACCAAAACCACCTTAGTGGTCTGATCGTCTGTTGTCAATGGGTTCCCCACAGTGCTCTCGGTTTGTTTGAACAGGTCCTGTTCCCACCTCATGTTTTCAATCTGCCTGTACTGTTCCAGCTCTTCTATGCCCTCTAGGGATTTTAGGGTTTCTTTCGCTGGTGCCCCGTGCCACGG